TAAGATATCCTAGTAGACTCTATGTGTTAAACAGTTTATTTTTAGTCAGCGTTAGTCTCCAGTTCTTTCAACCAGTTTTCAATTTGCCAACTACGTACCCACATGGCCAAGGCTTACACTTGATTAATGACGGTAAATAACAAGTTCTTTAATTGCAGACCAGGCAAGTGCCCAGAGCTGCAGTACTCCAGGAGCACACTGCTGCCAGTGCTGGGGAGGGACACAGGCACCCAGCTGCCCCACCAAGCCTGGCAGGAGCAGAGGGCTGTTGCAAAACAGAGAGGCCTTCCTGTCAATTCCCAGCCTCAGGGACCAACCGCCACTGGCTGTCACCGGCTCACTTTCCCACACTGCTATATAAACTCAGGCCCATTGTGCTCCAGATTAAAATTAAGATGAATTTTAGGTGGTGTTTAAATTCTGCACTAGCACCAGCCACATTAGTGATCAACCACAGCTTCCTCACATCGTCAGCTTTTGCTCTCGTGCTCTCGTTTCACCTGTTTGAAATTTTTTTTTAAGTCTTCTCAGGGTTTTCCCTGGATTTATGACTGCTATCACAAACACTATGCTTAAAGAGAGAATTGGTTTCTTTTCCCCTATTCCCCAGTGGGTCTTCAGAGAATGCAAACAATAAAGTAAATGTCACCTTTGTCTACTATTTCTATCCAGGGAAAAAATGCACAATAAAAATAGTCGAGCTAGAAAAGCAGCATTTTACAATCTCTTTCCTTGGACATAACTAACTATAGTGCATAAGACCCAATGTATCTTAATGTAACGTAATAATGTCTGAGGTGAATTCTTACTGAAACACTTCAGTGTAATCTCCACACAGCCACTATCCTCTCTCCTAAACTCCAAGTTCATCGCTCCCCAACACTGCCCTTTTCTTTAACACAACATTTAAAAAAAAGCCTGCTGTTAAAACTTCAGAGCTTGCTGAGCAGACGTGGGTTTTAAACTCCGTCAAACTTGAACATAGCAGGCATCCGTAGCACCTATGGCACCTTCGGCACTGATTTCCTAAAAAAGCATCTATTCCTACGCTTGTTTCAATAAACAGAGGAACAACTGACAACCCGCTTACTAAAGCCCCTGGTCTTTTAAGGATGTAAGTGCTCTGGATCCGAGTGACAGCCACACGTAACGCCACGCCTGGATGCAGGCGGCGGAGAGAAGTGCGGGATGCCTGTGCAGGAGCTCCCGCGGGACACAGCCCGATCAGCGGCCACCCCCGGGGACCACGACCCTGCCGCGGGGAGGGCGGCGGGCTCTGGGCAGGGGCCGAGCTCCTGGAGGCGCGGGCTGGGGCCCGCCGAGCTCCGCTCACAGCGCAGGGCCGGCGGGGCTGGCACGGCCGCCCGGCTCCGCCGAGGCGCAGCTGACCGGCCCTGGCCCCGGCGCGGCAGGAAAAGCCTCCGGGAGGGAGCGCCGGGAAAGGCTCCGGCGCGGGCCCACCGGCAGCATCCCGGGCGGCCGCGGGGATGAGGCCCGCCGGTACCGGGACAGAGCCCGGAAGGGCACGGCCTCCCCCGCCCGGCGGCCGCCCGGCTCCCCCCGGCCCGGAGCGCCACGGCCGGGGCCCGCCGGTGGGTGCCCGCGGAGCGGGCACAGGGGATGAGGCGGCGGCGCCCCGGCGGGCGGCCTTGGCTGCCGGCCCGGCCCCCAGCAGGGGCACCGCGGGGCCGCGCTGACTCACCTCGCCCGGGGGCGGCTCCGGGGGGGCGCTCGGCCGGGAGCATCGCAGCCCCTTCCTGCCGCCGCGGCTGCTGCTGCGGGCGGCGGCTCCGCGCACCTCCCGCCCCCCCGGCCCGGCCGCGCCGCCGCCGCCGCCGCGCAGGGGCGCTGCGGGAGGGACGGGCGGCAGCCACGGGCGGAGCCGCCCCCCGCCGGCGCCGCCTCCGCGGGGCTCGGGCCCGACTGCCCGAGGGGAGCTCCGCACTCAGCTGCTACCTTGGGGGAAAGGGGGTCTGTACCTACGCTGGGACCAGTCGGGTTTTAAAAGTGTCCGCGGAGCGTTCGCGGGCCTCGAACGGCCGAATGGCATTCGCAGCGCTTCCTGCTCCTCGCAAGTTCCCAACGCGTATTACAGCGTAACGAATTAATTACCTGTGGTGCCTTTCGCAGCCACTGGCATCACCCCTTCGGCGGCATTGTTTCTAGACTTAACACTCAAATAAAATTACGTAAATGCTTAAAACAACAACAGTATAATCTTCCCCCAGTTCCCCATAATGTTGAGGCAGAAAAAGGCAGAGTGACTCCTGAGCAACAGCTGAGCCGTACTGCAATATCAAAAGGTCAGAAGTGTTGAACTAAAGAAAGGGAATGGTCAGAAAGTGAAAGGCCAGCCTGAGATTTGGGGTGTTTATCAGCCCTGAGCTGAACTAAAGCAGGTACTAAAGCTGTCTGAGGATTAAGCTCAAGTGCTGGTGTTCTTCACAGAAGAGTTCACACTGGGCCCTAGTCCAAGCAGGTCAATAAAGTGAGTAAACTCCACTGGCCATCCCTCTCAGCTTCTGCTCGGGACACTGACCTGCATTGTTCACTGGGATACCACAGAACAAATGCATTACTACTTGCATCTTCATATTTGTACCTCCCTTTTCTGAGGGAGGATCCCCATTTCTGCAAGGAAAAAAAATTGCATGATTTTGCCCAAGGGCAGAAATTGAGATAAAACCACACGTTTGCATGATTGAGGCAGACAAACAGACAGGAACGGGGGCACCATGGGTCTTCAACCCATTTGATTGGAGTCCTCACCAAAGTGGAAGGGCCTCCAGACTCCATGGAAGGTGATGCTCTCTCCAGGTTGTTCTCCTGCCACCCTGATATACTGTTGGGGCACAATCTCCGTACATGGATACACCTGCAATGAGGACACTGTCCTGTTAAAATCTTGCCTACCTCTACAGTAAAGGCTTCTCCTGAAGGAGGCAGGAGACCAAAGCTGAATTTCCTAGGGGAGATGACCTGGGGCAGGAGAAGGCTTGTTTATCATCTGTCTCTGGAAGGATTTTCAGAACTCTTCATCTTTGAGAATCTCCCCTGTGGCTAATTAAGCACAAAGAGAAGCCACGTCTGAGACCAGGAGCACAGGCCTCCTGTAATCTTGCAGAATGCACAGACAGACAACCATCAGCTCCTGTAGTGGGGGGTTTATTACAAAATGTTACTGTAATAAATCAGTTCTCTGCTCCAACTGAAATTATTTAATCTTGATAGAGACTTTCTTGGCAAAATACTACAAATGCTTTTAGGGAGAACATGTATTTCAAATAATTTCCAGTCATTGTTTGTGAACTGAAAAGGGAAAGCTGATTTTGTAGTCACAGACTACATTTACTGGAGCCATAAAAACAGTCTTTCCCTAAACTCTTGATAACTCAACATTGCCCACCACACACTAAGAATGTGACCATCTTCTCCAGCTGTGTTTTTCCCTTCCTTGGAGCTGTGTTTTACCTTTTCTTGGAGTTGTGTTTTTTAGGACTTGCATCCTGATCATCCCCCTTCCTTCTACTGGGCTTTGGAGGTGCCAGGGACATTTCCTAGATTTAAAAAAAAAAAAAATTATTTTTGAAAACAAAATATGTAACATTTCTTTGCAGGCAGTTGCATAACCAGGTACGTGAAAAAGAAGTTACAGCTGAGGACCAGAGTACAGAATATGACTGAGTGATGTACAATGTTTTCTTTATATATAAATATATATATACATAAAAATCTTATGTATATTATATATAAATCTATATATTATAAATAATACATTGTATAAAAATGTAATTTTAAATATATATATTTAAATGTTTTCTTACTGAGTTTAAAAGCCCAATCCAGCAGTGTGGGAAGTGTTGTGAAAAGCCTGACCACAGAACACCATTATTCCAGCCTGACAAGCTACTCTAGCCTGAGCAAAACTGAACCTAGGGGGGCTCTGCATGGTTATTTCTTTCAGTGAGATTGTGTGTAAACATCTGTATTACAGCCTGTTATACATTGTTACACTTGCTCAGAGAGTTCTTTCAGCTATGGAAATGAGGGTTATCAAAAATGGAGAAACTGCTGCTCGGCACACAAACTGTCCTGTTGTATTTTTATCAAAAATATTTCTAGGCAAAGCATGTTCAGAGGAAAGGAAATGTAGTTGTAAGTTACTTGAAATATAAAGTTTTCTATTAAAATAGTTGCTAGTATAAAACAAAATAACAAGCTGAGTCAGGTGTAAAATCCATTTAAATTAATCGAAATATCTCTTTTTCAAAGACCTCTGGTTCAGGCTCTATATATCACAGTAAAATGTGATATATAAATGTGACATACCAAACAACAATCTTTTGCTCTTGGCTAATAAAGTGGCATTAATAAATATGTACCTGACCCCTGGATATTAGAATACTCAGAAATAATACTTAAAAAAATAAATATAAATCATAAATACACATGCCATATAATCAGCTCTGTACTGTAAAGCCACACTGGATTAAACTTATCCATGCCTGTGTGTTCCTGGGGGGGTTTCTTCAATGCATATGTCACTTTATAAAGATTTCTATTTATGTTCCCCATCCAACTTGACCGTATATCACGGTGAGATTGCTTGCCAAAAATAGTTACAAATGCTTTATGGCTTAAACAAAAAATAACCAAATTTAATGTCAAAAGAAAGTACCAAGTAAACTGAAAAGTTAGTTACCTCTTAAAAGGAAAATAAACGAAATTGTATACAAATAGCTGCTGGGACTGCACATATTAGATTTGGCTTGAAAAGGACTCCGTAGTGTCAGCTGACTCCATGGCTTGTTCCTTAGGTTAGAGGAGAAATAAAGCAAATATAGCATAAGACAGACAACTTTCATCTAAAAAACAGCTGGTAGGTTATATGAATGATATGGGCATCTTGTGCTTCTGATAGTTTGCAATAGTGACAAAGGTAAAGCCCTGTCTTATGGAAATCATTTCTAGGAGCTCAAATTTTAACATATAGAAAAACTTTCAGGTTTCTTTCATAAGCTGGAGCTGTACTTTGAAATCAAGAATTTCTGGTTGACCCGAAATATTCTGCTGTCCTTTACCAGCTTTTAACTCTGAGCCAAAACCCCGAAAAATTTACATCAGTAAGATTAGAAAGATAAGCTGAAGGTGAGATTTATGCTGCTAGAACTTGCCCCAGAGTACAATAAAGAAAACAGAAAAGCTTTCATTTCCATCAGATCTTTAATATATTTTGCATAACATGAAAACTACTTTTTTTTTGTCAAGCCTCTGCTAAGAGATGCTCTACATTAAGGCAACTACGACATTTATTTCTTCCTCTTGAGGAAGTTCTTCATAACACAACAGTTTGTACATCTGGGAAGACTCTAAGTCAGTAGGAGGAAAAATGTGACTTTTCCCTAGTGTTTCAAAGATGAAATGCAACTATGTCACCAGTAAGAGAAAAATCCCAACAGAGGAACTCAGGAACAGTCACCCAGTGAATCAGCAAATCATACACAGCTGCAGCAATGTTAATGGTAGCCAAGGACAAAATATTCCCAGCCAGTGAGACAACCATAGCAGTGATCTGTCTGGTTTGGCAGAGAAGCAGAGGACTCCCTTCCTCTAATTTTTGATCAAATACTTTTGGAAGCATTACATTCATTAGCAAAGAGAAGGGAAAATCAGTGCATAAAACAATACAGAAAGTGTGTATACTGTGACTGTGTTTATTGTGTGTGTATATACAAACTTCCTCCTACTGGATAGACCTTTTTCCTCTTTTTTTCCCCTTAAATTTAGATGTTTGTTTGTATGGTATCTGCTTATACAGCAGTCAGCCTTTCCTCACCTCAAGAACCTTTGAATCCACTGGTAGGTATTGAATTTGCTGTGCAGTGACAGTCTCACAAATATTAAATTCTTAAAATGTAGTGCGAGCAGCAGTGGCTGGCACTGATGGAATTGGAGGGAGGGAATCTTAACCAGTCAGAGCTTTGAGAAGGATCCACTTACACCCTCTCTTATAGTGTGGGGTCCCCAGGAAAGATCCAACTAAAACTTAAACAAATAGCTCCCCCATGCACATACATCTTATTCTAAACAAACACTTAGAAGTGTTAAAACAAAAATGCAAATGAGCAGGGCAGGCAGAGTACTTAAAAATAGGTCATACACCCCCACCTCCTCTGCCAGCCATGTCCTGCACAACAGGTCCTTGCTCTCCGTGGCTTTAGTAACACAAAGATTTGTCTTCTACGCTGTGTTCCGAGTGTACAAAGTAACTGTTATGTCTGACATGTTTAATAACTGCAGGTATATGACTAAGGGACAGCAAACTGACCATGTCTCTCTAATCCCATCTGAGAGCAAGAGGTGGAGCAAATACCAGCGTTCGAGCAAGAAATTCTTTACTATCATTGTCCTTTACATCCACAAAAGAAACATAGAGGGTCAGATATCCCTGCTTTCCTAATTACTAGTCAGTGACTTCAGGTCAATGGGAATTTGAGTTCGCAGCTTTTTCACAAAATTAAATTTCTGAAAACAGCTTTTAAAGGAAATATAATGCCACTGCACAGCAAAATATTTCCTGGCCAAAACAAATTTTAATTGAGGCTCAGGATTCTACATATTGAAAAATTATTGAAGAACATGACTTCTGATTTTACACAGCACTACATACTCTTCTCATTTAATACAAGGACTAGCTCTCACCATTTATATATCTAAAAAAATAATGATAACTCAAGAGTACTTTTCAGTTGAACTAGTTTTTGTAGGTTTTTTTTTTATTTATTTTTTAAATTTTAATCAGATTCTAGTGCAGTTGTATAATCTTATCTCCCTGACTAAATACAGGCCTTCTACAATGTAGCTTTGTAAACCTAGACCAAGACTAAGACAGACATTTTTGTTTAGTACACGTAAATGTGATTTTTGATGAAAACTACTTGTGTGTCATAAGCAGTGAAAAAATCCTTTGTACTGAGGGGACACATTGCCCCAAATTCAGACCAAGGCTAGCTGCTGACTTCAGAGGCCTCACATCTAACTCGCTGCAGAGCTGAGTTTGCCTCATTATAAATAAGAGCAGTAAATGCCACTTTTCATACAGAAGGGAGTCAGTGTTAGCCAACCATCTGACCTCTTTCCCCCAATAGCATACTGATCTTTTTATTCTATATTTTGTCTCATGACCTCCAGCATAACTGATGGGTTAACCTCTTTTAACGTCTTGGTTAGTGAGAGGACATCCACGTGATACTGCTACTTGAATTTAGTTTCAAGGTGAATTTCAAACAGTTCCCCCTCCGCAAAGTGGAAAAACAATGAGGAGCTTATTGATGCCCTTCTCAAGCTCTTGAGATGATATTCCTCTGTGCAAAGAACAAAGGACCTCAGTAGTGTCAGTAGGAGAATTGCCACAGACGTCAGTCCCACTGAGACTCAAAGCAGTATCTCTGATCAAAAGTGATTGTGAAATAAATAGAAGCTTTTTAGGCAAACAGAAGCACTCAACTATTGAAAATGTGTTAAGGACAGGTAAACCATATTGTCAGTCATGCCATGGAATAGTAATAGCAGATTAAATGTTCTCTGATAATGTTAGAAAATAAAGGTTTGCGCTTTTTTCCATTTTTGTATTCAGATTTCTGTCTGGAGAGAAAGATCCCTGATAACATATAAAAAATGCTTTAAATGTTTTTGCTTTCTTTTTGGCTATCAGTGTAATGTGATATGAAGACTTCATGTAATGGTACATATTGTTTCAGAAATATTTTACACAGCTATTTACTTGTTTCCTACAATATCCAAATGATCACAATGTATTTAAGACAGCATACTGTAGTTATTCTCAGTGGAAAGCTTCAGAACATCTGTTTACTTCAGAGTCTGAAGTTGAAGATAAAAATAAGACAAACAAAAATCTCAGAGGATATTAATAGCTCCATACTTACTGAGCTCATTAATAAATTCATTGGATTCCTCCCCAGCAATGTTTCTTTTCCAAACCTGGAAACAAAATTATTGACAGTGAAAAAAACTCCAACATATGTTTAGTTTTCAACAGAATGCTAATTTAGGTTTGAAGAACCTGATTCTGCAGTGTGTATTGGCCTAAACTTCTGTTAAAACCAGTGACAGTTTGAGACAGACCTAGACAAGACCAGGCCCTACATTAGTGGTGTGACATCGTGTTTGGCAGAGATTTAGTATAGCTTATGTCAAGTTTGTTGCCATGATGTAGCTGCTGTGAAACCCAGCCTAGTTTCAGGAAGCAGCTTCTCTTCAAAACAGAAAAAAAAAAATCTTAGAGAAAGTTTGTCCCTTCCATTTAATGTCTTATTTTACTCACCAAAGCATCTTTCTCAGTCTTTCTAACAGAATTATATAGTGGAAGATTAAAAAAATGGACTTCAGCTTTATGTATATGGCTGCAGGAACAGTACCACTCCCAGGTATCAGGTTTCAGTGCAGGGCAACTCCCTGATCTTCCAAAGTTTGTTTGGAAGCGTCAGCAGGATCTAAATGACCTTACAAAGGAAGTAGTCAGAAAAAAAAAGGATATTAAACTGTTTCCCAGTTTGTTTTTTTTTTCTCACTGTCTTGTTGGACAAGGGCAGGGTTTCAACCATATGCTACACACCACCTCACTAAAATTAAGATGTTTTGGAGGCAGAGTGGAAAAAGGGAGCAAACTCGATGAACGCTACCAAATCGGAGCACACGAGTACTGCCAGAAAAATGATGGTGTAAAAACGTTGTGACTCAGTGGCTCTGCAGTGTCTAAAGGAGTAAGTGCCTCTTGTGTTTCAGCTGCGCAATGAGGAACAGCAAGGTGCCTCCTTCCCACGTCACGGAACTGTGAGCTCCCGGGGACGGGGCTGGACGGCGTTCTCTGCTTGGCACCGTGACCACAAGCGCCGCCTGACTCCACCTGGCTGTTCCCCACCGCTGCACACAGAGCACGGGCTCCTCTGCCCTGCTTAATAAAGCATTTCAAACCGACTGCTTCTACTCCAGGAGACAGCCGAAATCTCAGTCCACATCTAAATTTTTCAGCGAAGCTTTTACAGTATTTGCATTCTCTTTGTCTCCTGCAGATTGTGATCTATTTATAACAACTCAGCTATTTCTAAACCTCAAGCAGACAGAAAATTGATGCGTCATTCCAAGGATATGCCTTTGAAATGGTGGGGTGGGAAAAGAAAAAAACCCAAAACACAGGAAGGTGACAAAAGCAGAAAAAACATAGTCTTTGTCTATGTAACAGCATTAATGTTTCTTACCTTTTTTCAATGTCATACCTCCTGACTTCCTAAATCAGCACATCAACTATGAATTCTAAGTACCTATGCTTTTAAAAGTCATTTACTAATTCCTTTTCTTCTTTCCCTTCTCTTCCCCCTGTTCTATAAATAGTTGAAAAAATGTCTCTTGCCTGTAGGGTTGGACAATTTTATCTGCTTTTAGGATGTACAACCTAGCTCCCTGAGGATTTCTTGTCTTGCTACAACATGCTGTTAACTGTTTGTTACCAGGAGGTTTGAAACTGTCAAAGCACTTCTGGGGGAGGAAAAAATAAGTATGTGCAAAACCAATTGCAGAGTAAGAAATAATTCTATTTTAGCATAATATATGTTGCTTGTTTGTTTGTTTTTTTCATATGCAGAAAAATTCAGGCATGGATCCCATGAGCATTACAGGGGAAAAAAAATCAGGAGGTTTTCCTCATTTCAAAAAATACTATATTAGTGTTGGAAAAGGTACAGAGAAGGATGCTTAAAAGCTTGGGCTGACTTCTCTGCCTGGAACAGTTGAGTAGCCTAGTATTCACCAGTCAGAAAAAGAGGCAAATTAGCAGGGATGAAGCAGATTTATGGTGTCCTGAATCAAAGAAAGCAAATTCATTTACTCTTTCTTCTCATACATGGAAATAGGAAAAATCAAATGAAGCTGGTGGGAGACCTGTCAAAAGCTTGGAAAGATACCATGGATGCTGAAAGCTTGTCAGGTTCTGGGGGAGGCTGGACACATGCAGAGAAGAGAAGCCCCAGGTTACTAGACTTTTTCTTTACTAAAACCTGTAATCTTCTGGGGAACAATTAAAAGATTCTAGAATAACAATAAATTATTAGTTCTCAAACATTTTGTACCACAGTTTATTTTCCCTTCAGTTTTTCAAAATATCATGTGTTATAATGAAATGTTTCATGTAAACACTAGCTTTGGTTTTGCAGCTCACCTTTGGGCCAGTACTGGTGTCATGGGCCCTCCAGCTCCTTGGGCCACCATGTCATAACTGTTACTAATCCTCATACTTTGCCTTAAACAATAGTTTACAGGTGTGCTGAGTTGGGAAGGCACTTTTCCTATTCCTGAATGGCAGAGCCATTCTAATGTATTTAAAACAGCAGCATTTCCTACTAGTGCAGGTCCATTAGTTTATGAGTGAGAAGGAGAAGCCAGAGCAAATTATCATCAGCTGGCCCCTTCTTGTTGTATCTAAGTCACAAAAACGGTCGTCAAATGTTCCTTGTGTCTTCCAAAGCCTTGGCCACTGATAACAGTAACATCAGGGAATGTTAAGGAAAGCCTAAGGTCTCAGTTCCTTCTTTCTTTGGAGCATGTGTGCTGAATAATACCATTAAAGAGAGTGCAAATGCCATCAGCTCTGAACCACAGGGGGGTTTTGTTGTTCAGGTTGTAGTGGAATAAAAAAGTTAAACAATTAAACTAAACACTGTGGAACACAATTGTGAATCAGCCCTCCTGATGGCTAAAAACCCTTCAGACAGCCCTCTGAGAAGTAAGACTCCTGATCTTGAAAATTCTCCAGTGAAGTGTGTTATTTATAATTTCTATTAGCAAAAATGAAAATGTGGATAGATATAAATGTACATAACACATAGGTTTTCTGTCTCCCTTGTACCTCTTACTTACTTTCTAAATTATTAATTTAAGCATGAACTACCATTCCAAATACTAGAGAAGAATTCCAAAGACTTCAAACTGCAATGTATTTTAAATTTTGACCCAACAGCACCAAATTTTAAGTCAATGCAATATCACCAAAATACAATGAAATAATTTGTTTACAAAACCTGTCTTATCTTACTCATATTTATAAGCCAAACAGAACTGGTAAACCTTTGGACTTGAGCAGGGTGGGGGTGATCTCCTTGCAATAGCACTGGCTGAACAAATACACATGGTTTATATGGAAATGGCAACAAAGGAGATGGGTATTGGAAGGTTGGCTACTAATTAACCCAGGCCTATTTGGGAAACGAGAACTACAGTTTCAATTCAGCTGTTTCCTCAGCTGAAACTCTTGAAAACCACATCTGAGCTATAGTTTTTTTCTGAGATAAGTAAATATTGCCCACATCCTACCTACTAGACAGGTGTGAAAGTTTGTCACGGATCTGCAAACAGTTCCCCTTCCTAAACAAGAAAGGTGAAGGTTAAACAGTGGGGGTCACTCTAGTCTTTGGCAACAGGTTTCCAGGTATTTAAGATAAAGAGGCACCTTCTAGGGAGGATGTTTTCCTACAACTTCTAGAAATAACGCCACATATTCCTGAGAGATCTGCTTCTGGTTGTAATTATGCCGTGGCAAAGTCACAGTCCATTGTTGCAGTCATTCTGTGGTAATTATGTTACCTACAAGCATTATGACTGCTGATTGTGAATAACTAACAAAAGCAAATGGTTCCTGTGTAACAGACAGCTGGCTGCTTCTGCAACCTCCTGAAACTGCACACTGGAGTGAAGAAGGTGAGAAATTCTTCGGTGGTAAATTCCTCTGAAAAAAAAAAAAAGATAATTGAAGTACTCCCGAAGAGAGGAGTGTGGCTGAGTCAGTGCGTTTTAATATATTGTGGATTTGTTTGTCCTGTGCTAAAAAACAGGCTCATTTCCTTCAGCAGAACTGATAGATAGCAGTGTTACAGGCTCACCTGTAAAGCCACAGTCAAATTATTTGCTTAGAAAGAAAAAGCACGTGTCCCTTCTAACATATATAGAAGGCTCTGGTTGGATATCTGTTCATAACAGTTTACAGAACAGCTTTTCTTTCTTAAAGAAGTGGGAAATATATTCCATGTCTTGATTTGTAACAGAAACTCAAAGCATCTGAATCCTTCTCTCTCTGGATCCCATAATCCTGGGTCATTGTACTATGTGGTTTTTTTGTGGTATATGCACCACAAACATAGAGATAAACTATATTTATGCTTTAGCTCAATAATAGGAGTAATTACAAGATACCATTTGTTATCACCAGTGTATTGCATCTTTCTGTTTCAGCTATAAGTTTAATGTTGATATTACAATGAGACAGTCAAATACAGAAGCGAAAACTAAAGCAGAATAGAGAAAAGGCTACAAAGTTATTTTTCAATGTCTGCTTCTTCTGACTATTTGAAATATGTTGAAAATTGTACGTTGCCATTGTAATTGAGAAGTCAGACAGCTGTACCTGCAAAATTCACCTGTCTCTTATTAGGAAGGTAACTCATCAATGGTAAACGTTCCAAAGGGCTCACAAAAGCTACAGGAATGTTAGTGCTGTCACAGGAAAGGGAAAGCACAGACCAAATAAATTTCATGATTCTCCTGCTCAGTCAAGGGGTAAAAAATTTCCATTAACATTTCAGGTTGAAAAAGGTTGGGCTTTTTTTGTGTGTTGTTTTTTGTTTGTTTGTTTGTTTTAACTTAAAGTCTCTGCTTTCTTAGAAAATTATTTAAATTTAGAATAAAACAAATAAAAGATGTTTCTTCTTGATGCTGGCCAGAACTTTCTCTTATTTTTTTTTTTAGGCTACAATTGTCAATAAAATCCCTTTTCAAAGTGTCTTAAATTTAAGAATAATGTCCCAGACTAATTCTACATGGTGTGACATCTCCTAGGCAGAAGCACAGCCTTTAATTACATGCTTTAATTTCTTGGCAGGTCCCAGATTGAAACCCTGCTGTTAACTCCGGCAGTTAACCATACAATAAAGCACCTTCTCGCTCCTAGAGCCTGAAGAAGTGCTCTTAGCAACAGTTCTATAAGGGAGTGCCTGCATTTTTCTTGGCAGACAGAGGTGTGTCAAAGTATGACTAAATCACATTGAGTTCCATGTTATTTCTGAAATAATTATATATATTCCCATACAGTGCTCTTAGGAAGATGCACCTCCATTCCAGG